TACTTCTGCGACAACTGCTAATATGATTATCACTGCTACTACAGCTACTACGACTACTCTATTCTACCACGACTACTGCTATTATTATTAATACTTTACGACGGCTACTACTACTCCGTCTATTACTACTATCATTACCTTCATACGACTACGATTATTACTTTTACTAGAAAATGTTGCGATTTCGTGTTTTTTTTTTTTATTTTTTGCGACTACTAGTTTTTTATATTTGATATTCCGAATACTACGACTACTACTACGACTACGACTACCCCTAGTATTGCTATTACTATTACGACTACGACCCCTACTACTACTACGACTATTTCTGTTACTACTACGACTACTACAACTACCACATTAATTTACGACAGCTATTTCTACGACGGTTACTTCTATGATTACTACTTCTACGATTACAGCTACTACTAATATGTGTCTTACCGCTACGACAGTTACTACTACTACTCCTGCGATTACATTGCGAACATTATTAGTACTACTATTACTACTACTACCTCTACTACTACTACTACTACTACTACTGCTACTACCACTACTACTACGGTTTCTACTACTACTGTTACGACTACTGCTATTTCAATTATTCCTACTACTACCACTACTAGTACGACTACTACTACTACTACTACTACTGCCGCTGCTACTACTACTACTACTACTACTACTACTACGACTACTACTACTACCATTTTTTGTACTACAATTCATACGGGTACTAGTACTACTACTATTACTACTACTACTACTACTACTTTTGCTGCTATTACTTTTACTATTACTACTACTACTACTACTACGACTACTACAACTACAACTACTGCAACAACAACTAGTACTACGATTACTAGTACGATTACGATTCTTACGACTACTACTACTACTTCTAGTACTTTTACTACTACTACTACGTAGTATTTCTACTAATACTACGACCATTACTACTACTGCTATTCTTCTACTACTACTCTACTACTACTACTATTACTTCTAGTAGTAGTAGTAGTAGTAGTAGTAGTAGTAGTAGTACTACTACTACTACGAAAACTACGACTGCGACTACTACCACTACCACTACTACTTGTACTACTACTACTACTACTGCTACTACGACTGCGACTACTACTACTACTACTACTGCGACAATTTCTACTACTACGACGACTACTACTACGACTACTACTACTGTTTTTCTTCTACTACTACTACTACCACTACTACTACTACTACTACTACTACTACTACTACTACGATTACTACTACTACGACTACTACTACTGCTGCTACTATTACTACTACTACTACTACTACTACTACTACGACTACGACTACGACTACGACTACTATTGCTACTACTGCTACTACTACTACGACTACTACTGCTACTACTACTGCTATTTTTTTACTACTACTACTACTACTACTGCTACTACTACTACTTCGACTACTAAAACTACAACTACTGCAACAACAACTAGTACTACAATTACTAGTGCTATTTCGATTCCGGCGACTACTACTACTACTACCTTTACCACTACTATGTATTATGTCTATTAATACTGCGACTGTTACGACTACTGCTATTTTACTACTACTACTACTACTCTACTACTACTACTACTACTACCACTAGTACTACTACTTCTACTACTACTACTACTATTACTTCTAGTAGTAGTACTACTACAACTACTACGACGACTACGACTGCGACTGCGACTACTACTATTACTGCTACTGCGACTGCGACTACTACTACTACTACTACTACTACTACTACTACTACTGGTACTACTACTACTACTACTACTACTACTACTACTACTACTACTACTACTACTACTACTACTACTTAACTACTGCGAACCATGTCTACTACTACGACCTACTTGCATATTACTATTACTTACTACTTACTACTACTACACTACTACTACTACTACTACCGACTAACTCTACTACTACTACTACTACTATACTTTTGTTTTCTTCGTTTTGATTTAGTATATTTATAAATGGTTTTACGACTAATTTACTACTACTACTACTACTACTACTACTACTACTACTACTACTACTCCTTCTACTACTACTACTAGTACTACTACTACTACTAGTACTACTACTACTACTACTACTACTACTACTACTACTACTACCACTACCACTACCACTACCGCTACCACTACTAGTACTACCACTACTACTACTGCTACTACTACTACTACTACTACTACTACTACTACTACTACTACTACTACTACTACGACTACTACTCCGACTACGACTACTACTACTACTACTACTACTACTACTACTACTACTACTACTACTACTACTACTACTACTACTACTACTACTACTACAACTACTACTACTACTACTACTACTACTACACTACCACTTCTACTACTACGACTACTGCGACTACTACTACTGCTAATTCTCACTGCCCCCCCGAGCTCGCCGCCGAGAGGACCTGCAGGCCACCCGCCGGCTCCGCGCGGAGCGGTCTACGGGGGCTCCGGCGCGGCGGCGGAGCTCCTCGCCTTCTGCGGGCGGGGCGCCCTCCGGGCCTGCTGGGGGCGGCTCCGTCTCTGCGGCCCGCGGCCTGGCCCGCGGGGCGGAGCAGCAACTCTAGCATCAGGGGCGGCCCAACCGGCCCCCTCGAGGCTTGAGAAAGTTGCTCTAGGCCTCCTGGATGGGGTCCGAGTAGATGGGGTCGGAGGGTCGCCCCCCGCATCGCCGATGCAGTGGCGATGCGGCTCGATGTGGAGCCCGTTGCGACGTCGGCGATGCATTGGCGATGCATCGCTGACGTCGCCGACGCAGCGCCGAGGCCTCGATGCTGCATTGGCGGTGCTTCAGCGATGCGGCGCGATCCTCCGGCCCCATCTTTTCGGACCCCTTCCAGGAGGCCTCTGTTTGCTACAGGAGGTTGTTCGCCGCTTTCGGCCTCTTGGGACCCTTCCCGGGCCTCGGGGCCGTCAAGTAACCGGTGAGGATGGGAAACCCAGTCCCCGGGGAAGGGGTCGAGATTTCTGGGGGCCGACGTTATGGACAAATCATGGCGTCGGGGGTCTGGGAACCACCCCCTAGCACACCTTCCCCTTCCGTGACGCCCACCTTGCCTCACCCCAAGACGTACGTTCGCGGCCAGGAGGAGTCTTGAAGGGCGCGGGGGACGTCACGGAGGGTACTCGTCACGGAAGGGGTCGGTTAGGCCGCGCCCGATAACAGGGCCTGATTCGGGGAATCGTAAGGCTCGAGTTCGCCAGAGTTCGGGTTTACCGACGCTTCCGGGCGTGGCGCAATATAGAGCGATAAGGAGGCGGGCGAAGAAAGGTGCACCTTCTGTACTTTGAAGGGGCACTAAAGGGGCCCCCTGGGGCCCAAAAGTGGCGCGAAATATGCACGTCTCGCCCTCCCCATGTACCGCCCCTCAATGAAACAACGCCCGACGTTTTGTGACGGACCCGTCCTGAGTTTTGGCCGCACAGTTTTCTTGGGATGTTCACAGCGGGAGCTCGCGTCAAATTTCAGGCTGAGTCTCGTCATATTCCTGACGGCCCCGTCAGGCCAACCCGAGTTCCCCGAATCCGAGTCTCACGTCTCCCCGACTGTTGTCCACCCAGTCCTCCGGCGCATGACCAAAACAAATCCAGGCGGAGTTGTTGTTGTCCAGTATTCGGCCTTTGGGGACCCTCGCCTGGCCCCGGGACCGTCGGATATCGACTCGGGAAGAAACGCCAGCCCTGGGGATGGAGGTTTTTCTCCGAAGGGCTTAGGCGACCCGTCCTCCTCCTCCTCCTCCTCTCTTTTCCTCCCCCTCCTCTCTCCTCCCCCTCCTAGGCTTGGCTCGAGCGGTTGCACAACCGGTTCCGCGCCGATCCCCGCCGCGACGCCCTATTGGGCCGCCATCCGTCAGGCGAGACGCCTGCCTACTCTCCTCCTTCCTATCCCCAGCGGCCTCGTGACGAGCCCGCTCCTCATCGTAGAGCGCGCAAGCAGCGCGCCAACGCCCGCACACTTTTAAGGGTGCACAAGGCCGCGATGATGCTTTCACAGCACCACTCCTTTCAGGGCATCCCCCAGCAAGGCGCTGTACCTCCTACCTTACCCCTTCAGCATGCGCCATCATCTGGGCTGCAGCAGCACGGCATGGCTACTTCTCCCACCCAGCGCTTGGCTGCCCCTCCCTCACCGTCTCTCTATGCCACGCGCTTGCCCTTGGATTTTTTTCCTCCACCCCAGCAGCCAGTGCACCAGAAAGGTAGCGCCCCGCCCGAGTTCTGGTATTGCCTGCAATGTGGCCGGGCCAATACCGCTTTGGATGCCTCATGCCCCAGCTGTTTTCCGACTCGGGCCGCGGGTCACCAACAAGCGAAGGTCGGCCCAGTCAAAGGTCAGGGGCAGCACAGGCCCCTGCATGATGGAGGCGCGGGGCCGGGCCACAAGGGCCCTCGCTCCTTTTCAGGCAGCACGGGGGGAGCGCACCAGGGCAAGGGCCCCGCTCCGACAGGTGCGCCTTCCTTCGACCAGGTGGCTGCGTGGGCAGCGGAACACGGCCTGCTCCCCGCGCCCCCAGGAGATCATGCGGTCCAAGAGGCTGGGATCTCCAACAAGGAGCGCAAGAAGCGTGAGAAGGACGACGCTCGCAGAGCTCGCGAGTACCAGCGCAGAGACGGGGAGCAGCCTCCATTGAAGGCTCCTGGCACCCCACACGGGGCCATGGACACAGGCGTCATAGGGCAGTCTCCCCAGCCACTGCCTTCCCCTTTTGCGCCTCCTCAAGACGGCGCGGCCACTCCCCCTACACTCTTCGGCCCTACCTCTGTACAGCAGTCTCCTTTCCTCGCGGCCGAACAGGCCTCTCCATCGCTTGGTGCGCTGGATCCCGCCACCGAACTCTCGGAGGCGGAGCTCGCGGCGCATTGCCCTACCCTTACCCCAGACGAGGCGCACGCTCACTCAGCCTGGCTTTACCCCCCGCTTGAGCCCGACCGCCTGTTGGGGCCCTTGCAATGAGCAAGGAGGCACTAATCCTGCAGCTTAGGGCCTCAACTCTCCTAGGACACTCCGATATGCGTATCACCGAGATCCGTAAGGAGATTTCACTAGTTAATTTTCAACTGGCCAACGCGAGGGATCCGCTGGCCAAGATTAGCGAGCAAGAGCACGTGGTGGCCTCCCTGCAGGCCAATTGTGAGCAATTGACAGCCAAACAAACGCAGGCGGAGGAGCACGTGCGCAACATTGCCCTGGCCCTTCAGACCGCACAAGCGGACCTCAGCCAGGCTGCCATGCTACTAGCTTATTTCAAGTCGCAAGCACCGCCAGTCGCCGCCATCACTGACTCGCTCATGATGGGGGACGCGACGGAGGAGCCGGGTGCAGTACAGCGCACTGCGACACTCTCTGCAACACATACAGGTGAGGAGCAAGCCGACCCACACGACCTGGGAACGGCAACGCCCCTCACAGCAGCGCCGACCTCTCCCCCACTCCTCCATTGCCCAGCGCCCATTTCAGGCATCCAAGGATTGGAACAGCCTCACATCACTTCACTCTCTGCGGCCATGCAAAGCAACGCCGAGGCTATGGCCAGGGAAGTTGCCACCATTAAGGCAAATTTTGACTCCCAGGCCCAAGCCATGCGCAACTCAGTAGAAACCCTAGTCTCACAGATCAAGGCCGGGCAATTAGTGCCAGCCGCCGCCCCTAGCCACGGCGCCACGGTCCGAGGGGGGACCACAGCGCCGTTAGGTTGTGAACAGGCCCGCGCTTCCCCCAAAGCAGGCCCGTTATTCCGCCTAGGTTTCGTGCCCAAACCCGGGCCAGCGCCAGTGCCCAAGTCGCCGACAGGGGAGGCGATCACCACTGCGCCCTCGTTTCAAGATAGCTCTGTTAGGGAAGACGCTATCAATCAGCAAAGCCCGGCATCAGCTTCCGTAGAGGATCCCAGCGGCATGCCCCCACCTACCCGCTCTGCCAGCCAGATTGGGTGGGGCCTCTCCGATGAAAAGGGCGAGCCAGTTTCCATGGCATCCTCCCGCCGCAGCGCAAGCGCGCAGGCCAGGGGCAGACCCGCGCGTGCGGGTCAGACCGAGCAGCGCGCGCTATCAGGCATCAGCGAGGAAGATTTTGTAGCTAGGCAGGCAGCACGCAGCAAGAGCCCTCGCGGATCACGGCGCCCCAAGCCCGAGACAGCCGAGGATGAGCCAAAGGCACGCAGCCCGGCAGATGCAATGGCAGAAGCAGAGGCTGCGGACCTCCGTGCCGAAGCCGAGGCCCACGCGGCACAAGCTGCTCAGGACGACTTAGCCCAGGCAGCGCGCGACGGCACGGTTTTTCAGGTCGCTCTTTTTTTGTTGTTCTTTTGCTTTTTTTCTTCTTTTTGTTTTTGTTTTTTTAATTTTCTTGTTTTTCTTGTTTTTTATCGTTTTTGTTTTCTCTTTTTTTTTTTTTTTTTTCTTTTCTGTTTTTTTTTTTTATTTTTTTGTTTGATTTATTTTTATGATTGTTTTTTTTTGTTTCTGTTTTTTTTTTTCCTTTTTATTCCCCCGGACACTGCCAACGGGTGAACTGGGGGGACGCAAGGTATCCGCCGCAAGACCCTCTCCGGGGGCATGGGTGGATGCTACGGTGTCCCAAGTGTGCCGCAGTTGGCTAAGTGGCAATAGGTAGGCAAATAACTCTGCCTGAAGCACCCCATCTCCACTCCTCCTCTATCCCCACATGGCACAGCTTTGTCTTTGATACTCCCTACGCAGATTTTGAATCCGTGGATATATATACCGATGCCAGCGGCGGGGCCTCCAAAGGAGATCTTGCTGGCCCACCAGCGTGGGCTTTTCTGGTCTTTGCACGGCTTAACGGCACTCGACACTTTCTAGGATTCCTAGGGTGTCCTACCCCGGAGACTATGGGAGCAGATAGAGTCTCCGCGAAGGCGGAATTCGATGCCGCCACTTGGGCGGCGCTATGGGCTCTACAGTCCCCCCTCCCCCCCGCCGTTCCTATTACCTTTCACTCAGACAACGTGGATGTTGTCGCCACCGCCAAAGGCGGCACAGTGGCTGAACCACTAATGGAGCATAGAAGCCGCCTCGACGGTCTATGCAAGATACTGGGCCTAAAACGCCACTTTACATGGCAGCACGTACACGGTCACCAAGCCGACCCGCTCAACGAAATGGTTGACACGGTCGCCAGACTTTACTCCATCGCACTCCTACCTCCGCCAGTGCTCCCGCCCCTCATGAGCTTTCTCCAAGACAATGCGCATATTTTGGAATGGCTCTGGCTTGAGTGCCTGCCTCAGCAACAGCGTGCGCTTTACCCGCCAAGCCATCAAGTTAGCCTCAATCCTCCTCTCCCCCCGCGCACCTCCCTTGCTGATGTTTTTCCAGGTCTCTTCAAAGAGGCAGCCCCGATCGCAGACGCCACGGCATCATGCTGTCTCAGGCTAGCCTCAGCCAACATTCTCTCTCTCACTCCTGCCTCGCGCATCTCCCAAAGAGCCCGGCTTACAGGCGTGGCCGTCAAAGGACGCCTCCTCCAACTGGCCGCCGCTTTTCAACGCAACGGGCTCGACGTTATCGGTATGCAAGAGACGCGAGTCACAGACACGGGCTCTGG